TCGTGGGGGCCGCTGGGCGCAGCCTCCGCCTCCGGGCGGGAGAAGCCGGTGCCCGGCAGCTCAGGGACTGCGGGGGTGGGCAGTGGGGTCCCGGCCGCAGGTGGGCGGTGAGGGCGCCCCCACCCGGCCAGACAGCCGCTCCTGGGGGACCTGCACCTGCAGTAGCATCGTGGGGGCTGGCCACGCTCCGGGGAGCCCAGAGCCCAAGGCAGGGGGTGCGCAGGAAGCCCCTCCAGAGGGCCCTTCTCTGTCCACCGCGGCGTCTGCCTCCGGCTTCCCGCTGGGGGCAGCATCAAGGCCGCCAGCGGCCCAGCCTTAGCGGGAACGCTCCGTGGGCCTTGCGTGGCCAGGACCAGCACACTCGCTGGGCAGGCACTGTGCGCATGCATCTGTCCCTCCATGGACAGGCCCCAGCCTCCAAGCTGACCCCTGAGCTGTCCACTCTCCTCCTCTGACAGGCGCCAGGGTGTTGTGAAGTTGAGGGGTGGCCGCGGTGAAGATGGACGCCCAGAGGGCACCGCAGGCCCAGACGAGGAGCTTCCTGCGCCCTCTCACTCTGGTCTGCCTGGACAGTCCAGACCGAGCCCCCCTGGCTGGCGGCCTCTTCGGCCCCGCCCTGCCCCTCCAGATCGCTGTGAGGCAGAGTGCACCCTGCAGCTGCGGGGCTCAGCAGAGACGGGGCCCAGACTCCAGAGCAAAGTGGCTGCTGGTCCCCAGGTCCCTCCCAGGCAGGGGCCCTGATGTGACCCCTGGCGCCTGCAGGGGAGTGTGACGCACTCTCCGCCAACAGAAAGACGCCAGGATCTATCTTCTTCTGGACCCTTTATTCTTCTCTCGCTCTCTCTCCCTCTGCTTGCTTGCTTGCTTCTCTCTCTCTCTCTCTCTCTCTCTCTCTCTCTCTCTCTCTCTCTCTCTCTCTCTCCTCCTCCTCCTCTCTGCTGCCCCCCCCAGTCTGTTATGGCAGTTGCTTAAATAGCATTCATTGACCAATCAGAGCACTGCTCACTTGTACATTGACCAATCAGAGCACTGCTCACGTGTACATTGGCCAATCAGAGCACTGCTCACGTGTACAACAAGCCGGTTTGGCTGCTGAATCATGGGGCTGGAGTCCCGGGCACCCCAACAGGGGAGGCCCC